CTGGAAGGTTGGATCCATAAAAACTACTGCTGAGGCAAAGCCTGGAAGGAATTTAAATCCTTCTATTTGGCTTTCTGATTTAAGAAGAATGTGGTTTTTACTCAAATTAACTTCACAGATTCAGCATATTCCTCAGTGCTGTGTATTAGCCCTAGCTCCTTACGAGCTCTCTCTAAAGAGTTTTTTCCATAATTCCACAGACTTTACGTTTTTCCACAGTATGAACGGAAGGAGCACATGCACAAAGACAAGGACCAGCTAAGAGAGAGCGCGAGTTCTGGAAGCTGGTGCTGGTGCTTGGCAGCTGGAGCAGCGCGGGGAGCCGCTGGGAGCAGCAGACGCTCCAGTCCCGGCTCAGGAAGGTCGTGGCCCTTGCAGCAGGGATCCCTGTCCCACTGGGATCCATCCATGTGCCCGGGATGCTGTTGTCGGAACCCCCAAGTTGGGGCCTGGGTGACTGCCTGGTGCAGCCCTGATCCAGCGGTGCATTCCCRTGCAGCCCYTGATCCAGYGGTGCATTCCCATGCAGCCCWGATCCAGCGGTGCATTCCCGTGCAACCCCTGATCCAGCGGTGCATTCCCATGCAGCCCAGATCCAGCAGTGCATTCTCGTGCAGCCCCTGATCCAGCGGTGCAGTCCTGATCCAGCGGTGCATTCCCGTGCAGCCCTTGATCCAGCGGTGCATTCCCGTGCAGCCCGGATCCAGCGGTGCATTCCCGTGCAACCCCAATCCAGCGGTGCATTCCCATGCAGCCCAGATCCAGCGGTGCATTCCAGTGCAGCCCTTGATCCAGCAGTGCATTCCAGTGCAGCCCAGATCCAGCAGTGCATATCCGTGCAACCCCTGATCCAGCGGTGCATTCCCGTGCAGCCCGGATCCAGCGGTGCATTCCCGTGCAGCCCAGATCCAGCGGTGCATTCCCGTGCAGCCCGGATCCAGCAGTGCATGCCAGTGCAGCCCTTGATCCAGCGGTGCATGCCAGTGCAGTCCTGATCCAGCGATGCCTTCCCGTGCAGSCCTTGATCCAGCGGTGCATTCCCGTGCCAGCAAAGCCGAGTTTTGTCCCTGCAGCTTGAGAGTTGCTTCGAGCTCTCCCCGAGTTACGTTTTGCCTCTGCTGTCCCTGGATCGCCCGTTGTCCCACCTGGAGGAGGAGGCAGGAGTGCCCTCGGGTAGCYGGAGGTTTGAGCCCGGTGTCCCGATGAGGGAGGGATGTTTGAGGTGTCCTGGTTGGTGGCGTCCGGGCTGGGCCCGAGCCGCACGCGGAGCGCGGAGCAGCGGGGCGCCCGCTGCACGTGTCGGGGCTGCTGCTCCCGCTCGCTGCCGTCCCACCTCCTGCAGCGGAACGACTTGGGAAGCTGAAGCCAGAGGGGGTTCTCGGGAGGAAACTTGTCCTGAACTAAGAGGGCTCCGTTTCTGCTTCAGTATTTTGCTGCAACCAGCACTTTCTGTCGTGTTCCTTGTCTAAGAGAGCCTGCTACGTGGAGCGGTTACCGGGCTGGATTTGTGACTTCCGCTGCCCTGTGGGGCCACAAAGATTCCTTGGTTCCTTGTGCACAGGAACAGGAGCATTTAACGTTGGTTTCTGTAGAGTAATGCAGTTGCTCTGTTCAGCACTGTGAGGGTGTGCAGGAATATGAGACCTGCCCTCTCTGCACATGCCGACTTGGGCAGTTTTAGATCAGTTTTATGGTCTGGAGCCTCGATTTTCACAGTGGCCCCGGACACAGGGTTTCCTAAGGACTGACTTGGCGTCTGCGGTGAAGGCTGTTGCCAATGACAGGTCTGTTAGCACAGCACAGATCCCATAACAAGGGTGAAACTCGTGATTTACCCGAAAACTTCCCTGCTCCAGCATTATGCACTAACAGCAGCGGTGGCTAGAACTGCATTTCTGCAACTACTTTATACGCTGGAGAATGGTTTTTTCCAARTAGCTGATCTGTCACCCTGGGAAAGAATACTAATCAAAGCAGGGTGAGAAATGCAGCAGAAAAAGCAGTTAGAGCAACTTCTGCTCTTCAAAGTGCTGTGGACCCAGCCTCCAGATACTGCCGATCACTGGTGAAGAAATTTAAATCAGAAAGTTTGTTATAGTTTTTTTATTATTTATTTTTTATTATTTATTTTTTATTTTTTATTATTTATTTTTTATTATTTATTTTTTATTATTTATTTTTTATTTATTATTGTTTATTTATTAAACTTTATTATAAAGAAACTTAAATGTCAGAAAGTAAGGAGGAACTGGCATCAGAGAAGACTGCAAAGCTGAGTGGCAAGACCAATCGTTAAATCAAATGGAAATAGAGATTTTAGACATTCCGCATAGGTGGGTCCCTAATAATCCTTGGAAAGTTGATCCTGACACATTGTGATTCTTTTCCTGTGTCAGCGCCTTGATGGCAATGACAGCTGGAGCGCACTGACAAATAARTGATACCTGGAAATTTCAAGTGGAATAACTCAGAGTGGGCTTAGCCGGTACCTAAAGCAGGACTTGCAGATGCACCCGTGCAAAACAGAGGGCTTTTAAGGGAAGAGAGGAGGATGGTGGATAAAACCCCCTAATCATCAAGGTGTCCCGCTGCCTTTATAAGAGTGGGAGGAAGCCTCAGCGTGTGCTGATGGAATGCTGAAGGCATTTACCAAGTGCTGGCCCCAAGCGCGGGGCTGGCGCCGGGCGCTGAGGCTGCCGCCGGCCTGGGGCGGCCCCCGCAACATGAAACCAGAGCCTTCCCTGCTCCAGTGGGAGGCTGCTTCAGTTCTAACTTAGACAGATAACAGCAAAACTAGTATCTGTTAGGGGATACCAGTGATAGCCTCATTTGGGAACATCTGTCCTGTAAAGGAACCTGGATCCAAGGTACTGACCTGCAGCGTTTKCAATGCGGAGCTGGCTGCATGTGCAGCGTGGGGCTGTAAGATCCAGCGCTGATTGCAGAGCTCTTCCAATGTCAGAGCTTCCGCGTGCTGGACGCAGAGCGGGGTCCTCGAGATAACAGCTCAGGGAGCCCCTTTGCCGTTGCTTGAGTTTATTTGTGCTTCGTCTCAGGGCAGGCTCCTCTCTCTCTCCCCCTTTCCCGGCTGCGGAAGTTGCCTGCACATCCTCCTGGGAAGGAAGTGTGTCAGAATCAGTAGCGTGGTTCAGGCGCGGGTGCCTGGTGCGCGTGCACGGGCTGATTCCCAGCGCGATTCCGGGTGCGATTCCCGGCGCAGCGCTGCGGTGAGCGGCACGGGGGCTGCTGCACGCGGTGCCACGGGCCGCCCGCTGCGGGTCCGCAGGGACTCGTGGAATTCCCGACGGACACGRAGGGTCGGCTCCATTCAGCGGCTCTGAGTGCCGCCAAGTCCCGGCCCTGTGGAGACTCTCCGGGCTGAGGATGCAGGCGGGACCCAGAGGCCCTGGTGGGAGCTGAGGCCCAGGAAGGTCGTTCCCGTGGTGGCCTGGGGGCCTCTCCTGCTGCTGCGGGAATGGGATCGCGCAGCGGCCGGCAGAGCATGGGGTTCCGCTTATAAACAGCCCTGAATCCTGTTRCAAAGAGCCCTGCATCCGGGGCTAAAACTGGGCCGTGTTGCAGCTCTAGCAACCGGAATTATCCAAGCCAGGCATCAACCTTGGAGGGAAGGGTTTGGGTTTTTTTTTTAATTAGAACTGGGATTTTTTGTTCATCACATTCTCATTTAAATTTAATAATCCTAGAAGATGGGATGTAATTTTTATTTTCCCTGCTAAGCCTTGCTGTTGAGTTCTACAGTCCCTTTCCTAAGGATTTCCAGCACTTTTCTCAGGAAGGTCCTGCGGCGTCGCGGGCAGGAGCCCGGGAGGGAGGCTCCGAGCAGGCGCCAAAGGGTGGTAGGTGCTGAGGGGGCGGCCCAGGATGGGGATCYGGCGTGGATCCAAATGGGAATCCTGCCCCCGGCTGTGCCGGACACAACCCGCGGCACCGGAGCAGCCGCCTGCCTGCCCTGGGCAGAGGCGGCCGCGTCTGTGCTCCGCGTGGCGGCATTCCCGGCTCCGCAGCCCACGCGTCCCCCGTGGCGGCATTCCCGGCTCCGCAGCCCGCACTTTCCATGTGGTGGCATTCCTGGCTCCACAGCCCACATGTTCCACGTGGTGGCATTCCCGGCTCCGCAGCCCGCCGTTTGCTCCCCGCTTTAGGGAAGCTCCAAGCAGGAGCAGGGCCGGCCTGGGCTCCGCTCCGGGTGTCCCGGTGTCCCAGAGAGGCTAGTGCCCGTTTCTGGCTTTGGTCCCAGGGCCGCAGAGTCTCAAACCTCTGCATGAAATATTTTCAAAACGAAGAAATCAGAATATTTCCGTGCTACATTTTAAGACGCATTCAGCTGCAGCTGGTACTTGAGTTAAGGAGCTTGGATCCCTTCACATAACACAGTCCTATCTAAGTGATTAGAAGCAGCTCAAACGGAGCTAGTGCTGCTTTCTACCTGTGGGGTGGATTGAGCAGCACGTGGAAGTTGGGAACAAGGGGGCCTCCTCGTTCGGGATGCGGGGGAAGCTGCTGGGTTCCTTCCCGCGGCTCCTGYGGCTGGGGCCTCTTCTCCCGGGACCCGGCCTCAGCTGTGAGCGGGAGCAGAGATCTCCGTCCTCCGTGTGCTCGTGTCCAGGGAACGTTTCCCTGAGCCACCRGGATTTGGGAGGGGCTTGGCGATCCCTGGCATTTCGTGTGTCCAGGGCTGAATGCACGAGGGCCGCTCTGCTCCCCTGCTCAGTGCCAGGACAACGGRAGAAGAAAACCCAAAATAGCCAAAGTGCTCCCAAATGTTAGGTGGTGGTAATAGAAATGTGCAGCATTGCTTACAGTATTTAAACTAAGGATACTTYTAAAAGGACAAAATCTGCCAAGTTACTGCCATTAGGGCTGCCCATGCGCAGTGTTGGAGTGCCGGGCTAAGTTGCTCACAATATCTTCAAATTAATACATCATTTTTAAACCAATCCTCACTTTTTCCCTTTCTCTCTCTGTGTTGCTGAGCACAGGTGACCATGAAGGCCAAGCAGGTGAAGGAGGCCGTGGCCTGCGCGCCAGGTGGGTGCTCATCCCAATGTTGCTCCATCCCGGGGCTCGCCGGGCTGCTCCACGTGCCCGGGGCTGCCCCGCTCYGATCCCGCGGGTCGCGGTGCCCCTTGGCTGGCACCGGGCACACAGCAGAGCAGCAAAACCCCCCCGGAGCTTCCTGCCCCACGGCGTCGCCCAACAGATTGGCTTGGAAGGGGTCCATCCAGTCCCAGAACATGGGGCTCCCATCCAGGCTGCCCAGACKTTTTCCCTCAGCTCCCAAGCCCTGCGAGCTTTGCCCTCTCCCTGCACCGCTCCAGATATCTGGGTTTCTTCCAGGCAGTTCCCTCTGTTGGGGAACCTCTAGCAGGTTTTTTAAGCACAGTCGTGTTCCCGGCAGGAATCATTAGGCTCTCGGAGCTGAAGAGCCTGGCCCAGAACTCCMGGAGCGTCAAAGTGAACCTCAGCTTGCCCGACCACATGATCACGCAGCGCGAGCCGGAGGACGAGGAGGCGGCGGCGGGAGGCAGCGCTCGTGTCCTGGCGCTGCCGTGGCTCCAGGCGGAGCCCCCGGAGCCCAGCGAAACCCGGCAGCGCAGGAGGAAGCTGCTCAAGGCGCTCGAAATGCTCCCGGCAGCGGCCAGAGACGGGGCGGAGGAGAAGGGCAGGGGAAGGCGCCAGAGGGACTTCGACAGCGCGGAGCAGGATGAAGACAGCGACGAGGAGGGCAGGAGGAGGGAGCGGAGCCGAACGCCGGAGGATCTGTGGACTCAGAACCAGCAGAAACTGCTGGAAATGGCCCTGCAGCAGCACCCGAAGGGAACGTCAGATCGCTGGGATAAAATAGCCAAGTGTGTTCCTGGAAAAAGCAAGGTACAGCCGCTGGCCTGCCTGCACCTCAGGGTGCCCGMGGGGCTCCCGCACAGTTACCGCTGGCGCAGCTCCTAACTCTCAGCCAGAGCACAACCTGAAGCACCTGACTGTCATTTGTACYGTTTTTTCTTTAATAYGTGCATTTAACTCTATTTGCTATAAGATGATGAAAGTCAAAATAGCTTATGTTTAAACTAGAACAAATKAGAATTTAAACAAAGTTCAAGTCACAGAGCGTAACCAGAGGCTGGTGCCTGGCTTTGCCCCTGTTTTTACGGCATCTCTTGCACCGCCCCCCCTCAGTGAACAAGGGTGTAACTAACTGAGCTGCAGCGCGACCTGCTCCGCCCCGGGCTGAGCCTGGGCCCTGAGCAGCCGTCCCCTTGGAATCATGGAGTCCTGCAGGCTGGATGGGACYCCTAGGGATCATCCAGTCCATCCCGCTCCAGCAGAACAGCCAGAGCAGGGGGTACAGGGTGGCAGCCAGGCAGGTTTGGAACCGCTCCAGAGCTACCTCCTTGGAGCTTCTCCTTTGAAATTGGGTGTATGGATAATTTAAAAAATAAAAAAGCCACCGCCACTCGTACTGCTGCTGCTACTTAAAGCAATATTAATGTATCAAATCTTAATTAACACTTTTGCTTTTCCTTTTAGGAGGAGTGTATAGCAAGATACAAGTTGCTTGTTGAACTGGTACAGAAGAAAAAAATGGCTAAAAACTGAACGCTCTCAACAGCAGAAACGTAACTCGTCCTTGTCCCAGCGGGAGCTYTCTGACTCTCCCGGGCAGGAAGCTGCATCTTGTACCTCGCTATTTCTATACGTCATGTGCCTTAGTAAAAGACAATGCCAATAAATCCGAAGCCGTCGCAGATCGTCCCGAGGTGCCCTGTGTGTCGTTGGGTGGATGGGTCCCTGGGTCCGGTTCTGGTGTCTCGGCCCCCGGGCCCCTTTCCCGGGAGCCCTTCCCTGCAATGCCCCAGGTTCCAAGGGCTGCTGTGAGGGAGGGAGGGCCGAGCTGGGAACATGGAGCAGGCCTGGGATTAGTCCAGCAGCTCCGGGGCTTCCAGAGATAAACGCAAGACAACATCCTTACCTGCACAGAGCAGCTGCTCTATACAGTGTCTATCAACATATGTTAATAATAATGTTAATAATAATATGTTCACCACAATCAGCATTCACTACAGTTCAGTTTTCGATTTGAAATGCTGTACTGGGTCTTGTCCCTCTCTCGCTACTSTATTTTACATTATCCAAAAGATACAATTTATACAATGCCTAAGTACTGGAGTAAGAGGTACTTGATGGTCTTTAAAGGTCAGTCAAGGAGAGCAGCGCTGCAGGGGTTTGCAGTAATACCAAGGACTGACCTTTTTCGTAAACACAGGAGCAGGACGAGGCCCCTGGGCATTCCAGATGTTTTCCCAAGCCGCCCTTCTCCCTGCAGCGACGCCTCCGGCTTGGAGGAGCCTGCTCCCATTGGCRGCCTGGCCGGGCTGTGGGGCAGGGGCTGGTTCCAGTCCAGGTCTCCCCAGGCTGCCGGGCGCTGAGGCCGGAGCCAGCGCCGGGCACCGGGCGCTGCGGGAACCGGGGCCGGGGAGCGACCCCCAAATGAGGCTGCAGCCCCCCCGGCCAGAGCCCGCCTGGACACGGTGGCCCAAAACACGGGAACACCGGTCCCTCCCCAGTGCACGGGCTTAGTTCTAGCAGGTAACTCTCTCTCTCTCTCTCTATATATATATATGTATATACACACACACACACACACACACACACACACACACACACACACACACACACACACACACACCCTGTATCCCGGCACTGCAGCCCCGCAAGCAGCAGCTGCACCGGGTGGCAGGGGAGCTCCCGGCACCCCCATCCCGCAGCCCCCTCCAAGGGCTCCCGCAAGCAGGAATTCCAAGGAGAAACAGCTTTAAAAGCTGTGGTAAGTTTTAGTGGTAACACACAACTGTGAAAATTGCCATGTARCAGTAACAGAGAGCTTGATCTCTTAATGCAACAGTCATGTCCAACACAACTAAATGCAACTATAAACATTATTAAAATTTTATTAACAAAAGCTTTGTACATATCTTTTCATACACTTGGAATTTTACATCTAGTCAAAATAACAGCACATTTTCATTTTACCATTTGTACAAATTGTTACAGAATATTCACCAGTGGGTTGAGTAAGTAAAATAAACCACTGATTTACTTTTGTAAAGTATCTACAAAAGTGATTTGTGACATTTTTAAAAAATTCCCCAGAACATATAAAAATAAATTATTTTCCTTTTTTCAATTAAATCTACTAATTAGAAATATTACAAATCAAAATATCAATGTTTTCTTATGAACTCTTCACAATACAAAACAGATTCACAAAACCTTATGTACAGAAATGAGGTAAGAACTGTGCAATGTTTAACTCGGAACCATATTGCAGGATTAACGCGTTCTCCCAACTAAGCCCACAGTGGAGGTCTCGCCGCGGGCGGCTCCGGGCGCCGCTGCCTCCCCGGCGCCGGCCCCGGCGCATCGCCCCGCGCAGCCGCCGCCCCGCGCAGCGGGAAGGGGCTCGCGGTTTTGGTGCGGAGGCGGCACCAGGCGGGGCCCGGTGCCCCCGGCAGGTCCCGGTGCCCCCGGCGGGTCCCGGTGCCCCCGGCGGGTCCCGGGCGCGGGAGCGGCGCGGCCGCCCCGGGGCGGAGGTAGCGACAGGCACTTGGCTGAGGCCGAGCGCTGCACGTGCCAGCGCGGCCTCGTCTGCTGAGAGGACTTCGCATCTCAACCAAAGTGGTTTCTTTAAAAACCTCAGAACTCTAAAACCTACAACCAAAATGAACAGCTCTGGATTCCCAACTGTAGTTCTCACTGAGGGAAAACTCGCACTCTGTATCGACAGCAATTTAAAGGAGTAAAAAGTTCAAAAGTGGATTCCCTTATGAGTCAGATTTCAAAAGAGATGTGGAAGGAAGAACGCCAAGGAGCAGGTCCAGGCTGCCGCTGCCAGCACTGCTGCTGCAGCAGATGCGACCGCCTGGGGAAGGGGCAGGGGCTCTTTTTAAAACTACTGCTCTGAAACCCAAGTAATCCAAACTGCGGAGAGTTCCTAGCCTTTCAACTGGTAAGAAGAGTAGTACTCAAGGATCAAGCATATATATTTTTCTATGTTCAAATTTGTACTTAGTACCATCACATGGACATAACATTATGGTCTGCAGGGTTTTCTCTTTTCACAGTCTGAAACATGAACAAGTACTTCCATTTTAGTGCAACAAGTGAGTAAATCGCGGCCTACCCAGCTGCTCAGTGCAGCCCGTGAGCCTGCGGCAGGGCAGGGCGGCAGCGGCGGCGGCATCGCTCAGACGTCAGCTCTTCTCTGATGCGACTGGTCCAGTTTTATCATTGAGCCTCTGTGCAAGAGAAAATACTTCTACAAATCAGATTATAAAATACAGAGCTCAGTAGAATTAAATGAATGCAAATGATAAAGCGGAGTTAAAATACACCCCGGACAAGATCACAGATGAGATTAAATTAATACAGCTATCTAATAGACAAATAAATTACTCTCACTTGTAGAGAAGAAACGTGCATCACAGAAGCCAAAGCGTGAAGGGAAAGAGTAACTGAAGGAATGGGACGAGGCTCCTTGGGAGCTGCTCCGAACCACGACCTGCTCTGAACCACGACCACTTGCATCCCAGCAAGGGGCCGTTGCCTCCCTGCGCCCGGATCCGCTTCTCCGGCAGCCCCTGCGCGCCCAGGGGGCTGCGGAGCGGCTGCAAAGAGGCTGCAGCCCCTGCTTCATTCACCCCATCCTTCTCAAGTGCCAGGAATTCTTTTTTTAATCCCATTCGCAAATGGGATAGAAAAATTACTTTTTTTTGGATAATAAAATGCAATTAAAAACACTTATTTCTAAGTGTTGTGTTCAGAAGACACTGAAGGTTCCCTTGAACGTGGTATCACCAGCTTTTGCAGGACCGTTTGCAGTGTCACAGCAAGGAGCCTGCTAGCAAATGGCAGCATCTGCACCCAGAAAGCTGGGCAGAACTCGGTGCCTGGGAACAGAAGGGAGAGGTTTGCAGGCACGTGGCCCTGTTCCTGCAGAACAACTTCTCTTTTCTCACTGTGCTGCCACCTCAGGTCTTCTCCAAGGACTTAAATGTCCAGGGGAAGTTCCACTGCTGTAATAAGCAAAGGGAAGCTGTCCAGTCTCTGGACTGGACTCACTAACTCACTAACTACTACTGCTTAATAACTCGCTAGCTACTACTGAAGCCTTAAACAAACAAAACCCAAAGCAGCCGCACCAGAAGGAAACCCGCCATCCGTGACACGTGGCCACAGGGCCACACCTTGCTGCTCGTCCCCTACCCACCCCGCGAGGAGGCTCCCGTGGCAGTGGGGCGGGCAGGGTACTTACTGTCACCTTCTGCGCGGCGCTCTCGCCGTGCATGGCCAGGAAGGGGTTGGCGGGGGCGGCGAGCGGCGCCGCCTGCGCGCCCGACAGCAGGTTGTTGATGGGGATCTGCAGCTGCTGCACGTCGGCCTGGTGCTGCTGGTGCTGCTGGTGCTGCTGGTGCTGCTGCTGCACTAACTGGTACAGAAGGGCTTGGTGCTGTTCCTTGGGTTGCATGAGTGGGGGAAAAAAATAGTAATCAAGAATTAACTAATGAATGGTAGGTCCTCCCTGGGTTCTTGCCTGCCCACATTTTTAGCCAGGGCAAGCACTAGTTTAATCCAGTTAATCGACTGGATTACGTTAGCGGGCCAGGGCAGGCAGTGCCGGCTGCGCTGCCCGAGAGGGGCAGCTCTGCACAGCTCAGCTCAGCGCTGGCACACAGAGCACACAAGAACATCAACCCACGACTGTCCGAGCACCAAAACCAGGCAGGCAGCTCCAAGAGGGCTGCAAGAGCTGCCAGGAGGCCCATTCTGCAGGGCAGAGCAGAGCCAGCACCATCCGACTCGCAGGATGTTTCTGCTACAGTCACGGTGGGGTCGGGGAGAGGCGATCGCCTGAAGCACCAGGTCCCAAATTCTGCTGCCCTCAGCGGGTGCTGAGAGAGGAGCCCCCGTGTCCAGGGAAGGTGCACGGGGCTGAAGGAGGCACCACGGGAACCCAGCACAGCAGAGCCCTCCCGCATCCCCTCCACAAAGCAGAGCCCGCCGCGCTCCCGCCAGGCTGCACTCACCGACGTGAGCTGCTGAGTACTCAGCAGCTGCTGGAACTGCTGGTGCTGCTGATGGAGCAGGAGCTGTCTCTGCTGGTCAGGAAGCAGTCCCAGTCCCGAGGCACTGCGGGGTGGGACAGGGCAAGACCAGAGKTCACAAGGGAGTAGGGGACAGAGGCACAGTAGTTTCCAGCCGGCGCTGTGGCCGCACATGTTTGGAACGACCTCGGGACAGCCCATCTGCCCGTTGCTGCTGCTCCACAGGGAGGCATCAGCGCCCGTTCCCTCCCCACWGCCCCGGGCCCTGCCCGCCCCACGGGCAAGCCCTGCCCCACAGCCTCTGCCCGACTGCGGTAACTCGGCCAGCGGGGTCAGGTCTGGGAGGGATTTCCACGGGAAACTGCCTGCCCATATTCTGGAGCTCGCAGGTTACCAAGAGCAGCCAAACACTGCAACGTCTGGGAATTCTTTTAATTATAGAACAGCACAAAAAGATAGGAAAGCAGAGCTGTTTTCTCCTGTGCCTTTCCATCATAAAGGAACACGGATTTAATCCAGTTCCATGGGATCCCACCACATCTAAGGGCTGCATTAACTCTGCTGCTTGCCTGGCCTGCACCTTTTCCTCCGAGCATACAACAAAAGACACCAAAACCTCACAGTAGAAGGAGGTGGTCGTGAAAGACCTCGAAAGGAGAGGGAGATTCCCACCCCGGAGGAGCGCCGAGCGCGGCGGGGAACACGAGCTGCCGTCCCAGTCGCCGGGCACGCTGCGGGACACGGGCGCCCCGGGACGCCCGAGGGGCCGCCAGGAGAGAGCGCAGGACACGGGGACCCCTGCACCTTTCCAACACAACTGCCTTCTCTTCCAGCTGGCCACCTACTGTAATATCCTAAAATGACACTTAAAAGGGCCCCCTCCCTGCGGTGTGAGGAGGGTCACAGGGACAGGGCAACGGGAAGAGGGAATCGAGGCTCCCAGGCTCCCCTCTGCTCCCGAATATGCCCAGCCCCTGCAGCCCGTTCCCCTTCTTGGGGAGCAGCCGTCTCCTTTCGTTACCCATTTGTCTGCAGCTGGGGCAGCAGCAACTTGCACTGCCCACTGCACCTGCTTAGGGACAAGGTTATCAGCAACACTCCCACATGGATCTTCCTGTGCATTTGGAGATCCCTAAGGAATGCCACTCCAAACCCCTTTAGTGTGCGAGCAGGGCGAGCGCCCCAGTGGGCCCACTGCCTCCCCTGCTCCACGTGCTCTCGCCCTCGTCCCCTTCGCGCTGCGGACGGCAGCGCTGCCGGGGATCCCCCGGCCCGGGAGACCTCCTGGCTGCTCCAACAATTCCTTCTTGTGGGCTGGAAAACACCCCAGGCACATTTACACGGTCACATCTGCATGGCAATGCCGCTAGATTTAAAACAGGACACTTCAAAAAGAAAAGGAGATGCTCTGCCATTCCCTAAAGCCTGACCGAAAACAACTTCAGTCCAACTTGACCATTCAGGCTACCTGACTATTGCCATTAACTACGGCCACTAACTTGACCACTGCCATTAAATCCCCTCCTTACCGCCACTCACAAACAGGAGCAGAGCCCACGTGGGTAGCGAGAAGCTGCAGAGGAACCAACTCGCACGCGACGCAGCCGAAGCAGCCCCTCGGGGGCAGGCGGCGGGCCGGGCGCGCGCCCCTCACCTGTTGCTGAGCGTGGTGGGCAGCGGGTGCACGGCGGCGGGCGCGTGGGCCAGCGGCGACGCGTTCTGCGCCAGGGAGGCCGGCGGCTGCATGACGCCGTTGAGGGCGCCCACGATGCCGTTGATGGCGAGCTGGCCGGCGGGCAGCGCGCCCATGATGCCGCCCACGGCGGGCAGGGCGGGCGGCACGGGCTGCAGGCCGCCCGCCAGGGCCCCCACGGCGACGCCGTTGAGCTGCGCCGGGCTCTGCCCCGCCGGCGGCGGCGTTGACAGCGCCGAGGAGCTGCTCGTGCTCTGGCCGCTCGACGTCACCTCCTAGGGCGCAGACACGGGGCAGCCCTGAGCCGCGCGGGGCAGCCACACGGGGCAGCCCTGAGCCGCCCGCCCCACGCTGGCGGCGAGAACCACCAGGAAACGTTACCTGGTCCAACACGGGCAGGGAACTTGCCTGGTTTAGCACGGGCAGGGAGCTGTCTGGTAAAAAGCTGTTTCCCAGGTGGGGGCTCTTGCTGCTGTTCAAGGAATCAGTGCTGGGTGCTAAGGAAATTCATCAAAAAATAAACACACACAGACACACACGGTTGTTAAATTTCCATCAGGTGAAAAGAAATTCAGAACAATTATTTCAAAATAATGTCAAAAGGTAAATACAGAACATGTCAAGTCAGCAGGAAGTCAATTTTAAAGTCACAGTCAACTAGAAAAATATTAACTAAATGTCTGGTAAAGCAAAAGATTCAGAGATGCTCCAGACTGAAGTAAAAAGGAAAATGCACAGAAACAAGCAGCAGTGGCTCATGCGAGTCTTCTCATTTATTTTTAAATATTACATTTTTTAAAAAATCCCCAAGATAGGAAGCAGCAGCCTATTCCCATTAGCCGCGCAGATGCACCTCCCACCAACTACATGCAAACCGGCCCCTGGCTCCGTGGGCACGTGGCTCTGCTCACCTGCTTGTGCTGGGAACGCGTGCGCTTGGTGAGAAGGGCTCGGGTTGGACGCCAGCGTTGGGAAGGGAACGGAGAGCTGAGCATTGAGCAGCTGAAGCCGCTCCTTTTTAGCCGTCAGGTTCTTGATCTGCTCTTCTAAGCGCCTGTTCTCCACCTGAAGCTGGTGTAATGATTTAAGCATTCCTAAAACTAAGGGAAAAGAAACAAGTTTTATCTTTCACAGCTGCCTGGTTTGTCTTCCTTTCAGCTGAGGGGAAGCTTCTCCCCAACTCGGGCTCGGGGGTGACTGTAAAGCCACAGGGAYGGCCACTTTTTTAAATTCTAAATTGTATTTGTTTAACGTGACCTCTGGGCCTACTACAGACATAAGTCTACTGGTCTAGGCACATCTGGTCATTTCCCAAGGATTTAGCTTTTATCCCTCCTCTTCAAGAACATACAAAGGAACCCTCAGTGAGCCCAAATGAGATGCAATAAGACTTAGCTAAACCTGTCCTCCAGCTATCATGTTTAAAGGATTATCTCTGCATGAATTTCCTCACAATTAGCATTTTTGTCAGGATACCATTCATAAAAATACCAACCAGACACCACTTTAGACTAGCAACACAAATAACGTGTTCAATAAAACATAACACAAAAATTAACCTGGTATCCAAAGACGCATATTTTAACTTAATCATTTCCAGCAATACTAACATTGTTGGATATGGGAATCCTAGAGATCTACTCATCATTCATGCTTTGAGTTTACTCACTCGTGGATCAWCTTATTAAGCACAACTTGAAAAAAGGAATTATTTCCCCAATCGGTGACTTTTATGGGAAGCAGAACATAACGGAGACACAAAAGCACAGGAGGACACGGCCAACATCAGCAAGAATACTRAGTTCGGGTGTTGTTTTTAAACTACAGAAACAGGCATTTTAGACTTAAAATATCAAAAATAAAATGATAATGAAACATYGTGGCAATGCACATCATGTGTTATAAAGCAACACTGAAGAACTGTGCTCATTCCTGGTTTATGAGAACTGTGGAAGTTTCTGGTAGTGGACCTGAGCCTCCACCAWCCACTTGGAAATTCCACAGCCAGCCAGCTCCATCCACACGTTACTTCCTCTCGCATAACACAATTTCCCCATCTATAAAAACTCAGGTAATGACGGAGAACTGGGGCGCTCTACCCTGGGCAAATGCTGCACTAAGAACTGCACAACTGAAGGTACTTACTGTCACTAGGGGTGCCCTGCTCCAGCAGGAACTGCTGCCCTTCGCTCCACTGCCTCTCCAGCAGCTGCTCGATGCTGGATGCTACGGGGGGCACGTTCTCCCCACAGCTGTTCCCCGACTGATCGTAGCGGATCTGTAAGCTGCTCACAGGGGACCTGTTGGAAATATTGGTATTTGTGCTTAGTAAAAGGAAAAAGGCATCGTATTAGCAAAAAGCTGAAGTTTTTTACTTTATTTCAGCCCGTAGCACCTTTTTACTTTATTTCAGCCCGTTGCTGAAACCAACCTAATTCATCCAAGTGACCAAGAACTCCTGGTTCCAAGGCCTACGCCAACAACAGCGCAGCACTTTCCCCTAGGAGAATACGTGCTCAGAAAGTCCCAAATCTCCCAAGCGCACAGACTAACAAAATACCTGSCAAACTGCATTGTATTAAATTACACAACGCTATTCCTACAGCAAGAATTAGTATTACATATGAACACAGAGTGCCTGTCTTAAAAAGAATTTAAAACTTTTAGTGAAAACTAAGAAAAACTAAATAAGTTATCAAAAACCTGCAAAGTAATGGCACTTCCACACAGAAGAGCACGTGCAAGTCCACTGCCTGGCTTCACCAAAAGCAGAACAGGTAAAGCCAGACTGCAGACAGACCATGTGGAAATCCTGTTTCACAAGGGACTCAGTGAACGCTACAGCTGCTCCCTGTACCTCCTGCACACAGCTACTCGACWTCCTTGCTTCCACTCATCATCACACGTGGTTCAAAGAACCATCTCTTTGCCACACATCTCTTCTCATTCAGGATGAAATTAAATATTCAGCACTACAAGAGTTGGACATCCCTCAGGTTTTAAGATACGGCTTCTTTTCCATTCRATGGGCAAAGTTTCATCTCTGTGCAAACCCAGACACTCAGCRCGTTTCTCCAGCTCAGAATTCTGCTCTCATGGACCCAGAGACCCACTCCTCACCCAGAACCAACACCAAATCCCACTAAAAGTTGACTGATTTTTTTTTTTTTAACAACTCCAGCAACCGCAGATTCAGATTCYTATTTATCAGTTACTGCTGCAGGAACAGCTCCCGGCCCTGCTCGAGGACCACAGCTGCACCACTCTTCAAGGACTGAAACCTACCCAAGAGGAGCACCAGAGTGCCAAGCTCAGGACAACACACAGCGCTCAGGAAATCAGGGTGTTAATTATGATTAGTGTAATAAGCAGCGGTCACAGCACATTAGGTGCCTAATGGCTCGCAAGTATTTTTGTAGGCACCAGAGCAAAGCGATTTTTAAAAGAAAGGTTTAAGTAGGTGACTTAAGAGCCCTGTAGGTATTTATAAGTAATTCCCCCTTTGCATATAAAGATTTGCTCAAAGGGGGGAAAAATACCTGAAGGAAAAGCCAACAAACAAATAAAATAAAATCCCCCACCCCAGGGAATGAAGGTTTTTCCAACAGGAGATGACAGGTGAACAGCACTTAGCAGTTCGGCAGGGCCACACCAAGATGGATTTAGAAGTAGTTGTCTACACATTGTGCTGAGATGATGAGCAGGCAGATTCCCGCAGAAAAACTCTGGAACTATTCCAGATGAACTACACTCGTGCTACACTCCATGCAAACAGCACACTAAATAAAAATAAAAACCAGAAAGCAAAGAAACTTCTTTCTCTGCCTGCTTGCTGAGAACCTACAGTACTGCACTAGCAGACTACTCCATTACAACAAAACACCAACAGAATTGTGGATGGGCCTTGGGCAGTTTCCTATTAATTTCACAAATGTGGAAGCAAAGCAGTGTGAGATTATATAAAATCYGGAAATCTGTAAGGGAAAAGAACCCAGATTTCCATGCACCTCAACTTTACTCAATCTACCCTCTTCCAGTTGATCCACCACTCAATCCATTACAYGCAATACAGTTCCTGCATGCAGGGGTTGAATCCTCATTCCAAGCAGGATTTTATCGCTGTTTCCCACAGAAATATAATGCAGCAAATGCGACTTCAACGGACTCCCTGTGACAGGAACCCTCTGTTTCTTGTTTCCTATCTTGCTCACTGCTTTGGGTTTATCATGTAGACTCATGCATATTCTCTTGATTATAGTTAATAGTATGACCGGACTCCATTTACATATACGGGCATACATACATATTTCAATATAGTATTGCACAACATGATTTTTAATCTAGGGTTAAGCATCGTGTTCAAAAAGCACTRCCTTGAGAACCGGAGCAATTCCTTTGCAAAATGGAAACAACTCTCACACACCAATTATATGTGCATGTATATACAGGAAAGCAAAGATGTGTGTATATGTAGGAAAGAAAAAGGTATTTTGTTTGTGTTGGAAATACAAGCATATACTTCTAGATATAAAAGTTTAAAGAAAGAAAAAAACACTTTGGTAACACAGGGATACAAAGATGCAATGTCAGAAATCTAACTGGTCATGAGTCACTTAAGTCATCTCAGACAAACTGCAATCAGTCCTTGTCGCCGACAACAATCATTTCCGTATTTTCTTTTATTTTAAAAACTATTTGCAATTTACTCAACTCTTTCAGAAAAGYGTAAGTTTTTTATGGATCTCGTAAGATTCAGAGGAAAGGGAATAGGAAATTGCAGGAAAAAATGTATACGTAGGATAATGTTCTGGGTTGAAATGTTTTCAGATATCAGATTTTTGAAGTTAACTTTTCATTCATTGTATACTACTTTTAATGTAACCAGAGTTATTTATTCAACTGGGGAAGGTGGGGAGTTTCCTGAAGCATCCAAGGGGTGTGGGCAGCAGCAGCAGTGGGCATGATACACATGAAATAGCTAAAAATGCCTTGCACACTGTTTCTCACCACGTGCTGATTACTGAGCTTACACGAATGAATGGATTTTCTCATTTTTTTCCATGCCCATATTTCTGGATACGTTTTCCCACTGGAACTACAGTAGTGATTTTCTTTTTTTCCTTGCTTTTAAATACCCCAACCCCCCAGGCAAAAGCTACGTGTTCTTTGTAAACTGATGGTGTTTCCATACRTGGAGCAAGACGTGGAAGTCTGGGCTGAGGTGGCCACAGCATCACATAGTTCTGCTTTGCCAGACTCATGAAAACCACATGAAACTTGACCATGTTACAGGCACTGGACAATACATATATTGAGCATGTGCTCAGTAGAAATATGACTTTTTAGTCGTTTACCTTCCCAAATGTTCTCTCTAAAGCCAGRTCAAGTACAGCTGTAGGCTACTACCTCACATACACAAAAAGCAAAAATCTCTCTAATTATCGATGTGCATATGCACAGGTATCCACACACACGTGCACATACTGAACTTCTTAGTGTATGTTAAAGTAAGCATATATACTTTATTAACGAATGCTTTAATTTGTAAATTCTTTATTTTTTTTAGAAGTAACAGGCATTAAAGCACTTAAAAGCTAATACCACCTAAATATTATAAAGAATATGCTCATCCGAGGCAACGGGTTATTTCATTAATTAAAGAATATAATACAGATCAACAACACATGTATGCTAAATTAAATTACACATGTATATTAAATTATCTAATTTGGAGATCTTTCCTATAAATTACTATGATAATCTAGGCTGTAACAATAAAATTCATTGTTACGATGCTGCATCTGCTTAACTGCAGATTTTTTTATTTTAGCTATCCTAAAATTCCTTTCAACATAAAATTCCCTATGGTGACTGCCTAAGTAATAACAATGTAATTCATAGGGCATCCAGTATGGAAAATAAGGTCCTTTAAATACAAAATAATACTAAAAATACACACACAAGAAAAATTCCTAAATTCATTTTAAAAGTGATTTTGGGATTTTAACAGCAAATAATATAAGAACAAAATAATGAGGCATGATCCTAGTAGGAAAATTCYTATGTCAAACATCAGAAAAGTTTTTTTTCCCCCACAGACAATTGTTGCATATTTGAAGCAGTGAGGGAAGCAGAAGGGAATATTTGTTTTTAAATTTTTATTACTGTTTATTTTCTCAGAAAGTCTTATTACTGCGATCTTTGTAATGTGCAAGTCTATGGGATTTTAGACCTTCTGCACGTTTGAAAAGCGAGCACGATTATGGCAACAAATCCATGGAGATTATCAGTAAATGTGGCAAAGATCATAAACAAATCCTTTTTAAAGGCTGTCCCCATATCTTAAGTAAATTCCTTTAACTTATAAACTAATCTCACTTAATATAAAAACCAGCTTCAGCCTATTTGGAGCTATCTGAACGTATCGATTTATACATTTTTTTCAAGTACACATGAAYGCGGACGTCTATACGTGCACGCTACTTAAACAGGTAGCACCTAATGAAAGCCAGGGAGGTTTCTCCCTGTGCTGAGGCACTTACCGTGGCGAGAGGCTCCCCCGGGGTGACCCTCCTCTGCCAGCGAGGCCGCGGCCGCTATCGCCCAGATCTTGATCTGCAGGGTAAATATTTCACAGCTGATAAATCAACTCTTATTCCGTACGAGTTTCAAAGTCGATGTGGGCATTTTTCAGCTATCTTAAATCTTAACTTCCTTGGCATCACAGAGCAAAATACGTGGCTAGTTTGAGGCTGCTGAACTGTGGCGTGTAAGGTGTTGTCCTTACACATTTCTGAGGGTGTAGCAGGCCATGGATTATGTTCCCTTCTTTCATTCCTTTCAGTTTTACAGCGCAGAAGTGTGGTTTGCATTTGCAGTGCCCTCCCCTCAGCCACTTTTAATTTCTACGGTGAAAGTAATGAATCACAGCTGCGGACAGCTAATCTGTATGCTTATCACAGCAAATCCCGAGGCTTTGTGCTTTCTTTTTTTTGTGTGTGTTTTTTTCCCTTTTTTTTTTTTTTTTTTTTTAACACTTTGCATCCCAAAACAACTCATAAAACATATACCGCATTAAACTTGCCGCTGCCGTCTAACGAGCACGGGCTCTGCCACAGATTTACCGAAAACTTTATGAAAGCCCATAACTCACAAATTCCCATTTATAAGCAAGAGCACAGGCCAGCCCCTTGCTAAAAGGTAGTAAAACAACCCCCMAAAAAGGGGCCTCATTAAGGATACGGCAGCGCTGGGCTCGGAAGGGTTATTTTCCCTGTGGCCTCTCCATAAAACAAGGCCGAGCGCCGCCCGGGGCGCACGACCTCCGACCCGTGTGGGGCAGGACGCGGCCGGGCCGGCCTGGGGACGCGGCTCCCGCGGGGGGAGGCGCCGAGGCCGGCCTCCTTACAACGCCGCCGAGGCCGGATGTCTCCCGAGGGCTGTGGGGAAGGCCAGCCAGGTTACTGAAGGGCGGCCAGGCTCCCCGGCGGCCTCCGCGGCACGCAAGGATGCGGGAATGACAGAGCGGGAGCGGGAGCTGCTCCAAGGCTCCCCCCGCCATGGCCGGAGCCGGCGCATCCATCACGCCCCTCGCAGCGGACACTGCTGCATTCCTGCCTGCGGATGGCTCTGCTGAAGCATTCGCAGTTTAGACGGGGAAGAAAAAACAGGAAAGCCCACGCAGCTCTTCTGCGGGGCAATGGAGAATTTACCAACAACTCCATAGGGGCGTTTAAGCAGCAAATGCGGATGCCAGAGCAGGAGCAAAGCCCCGTGAGAGGGCGGAGGGCAGAGGGCCGCGCGCTGGAGCCACCGGCACCGTTACCTGCTTGGGGGCCCTCGGGCTGCGCCACGAGCGCTGCCATGGCCGAGGAGGCGCCGAGGCGGCCGCCGAACCCGTGCGACGGCGGCAGAGCGAGCGAGGAGCCGGGCAGCGCGCTGGCCTGCAAGGAAACGGTCACAGCTCGAGTCCTGCAGAAACGGGAGCTGGGCTCAACCCGCCTTAGGGAATCTTCCTAATGCACAATTCTTTACAGAGATAATGCACAGTTCTTTAAAACATTTTTTTTCTCCCTTAAATGCATTATTATTTTCCATTTGGGAGTAGAGAAATAGAATCGCAACACCTTTTAAATACATCAAGCCTTACAGTGTGGTTTACAGTTATCTCTGGTAGGTTAATAAAAACAAAATTAATAATAAAAGATCTTCTAATAAAAATTTACCATAGTACATCTTAAAAACGCCCAAGCCACATTTTAGAGGGGGCAGCAGGACCCTCGCAACCCTGCCGCACTCCCTCCGCCGTGCTGGGACTTAGCAGCGTGGCGACCATGTGGTTATCCTACTAATTATTTAATCTTATTAAASCATTTACAAAATAAGGGCAGGTAGACAACAGATGTCTCACAAATGCTCGGGTTCCTCACATCACAAGCCGGCTGGGGAGGTCAAAAGGTCCAACTTTCAGCTCTCCGGTTTAACTGCACCGAGCCCATATTTCCTTCGCGCCGTGCCGTCATTAGTAAAACCTGCACACTATTTTGTTACTTCCTATTTTGATCGGCTTGGAAGCCTGGTGGTTTTTTGTTTTGTTTTGTTTTTATTTTAAAGAAGGCAAACAGCCATTACAAGTATGTTTTCTATACAATAGGGGGCTCAGCGAATCACAGCTTTGCCCTGACCCCATATAAGGCACTGTATTTTTGGCAGTTGGCCAGCTYGACTTATTGAAGAGCTCCCAAAGTTTGTGTTCATTCATGTTGCTAACCACAATTCTGAAGGTCTCTGCTGGGACTTGTGCCAAACAAGCGAAAATGAACCCTTAAACAGATGAAGCCGAGGAGGCCGGCCAAAATCTTGCATAATCCAACGCAATAAAAATACCTTCTTCCTCGGCTGCTTACGCTTTTTCCCCTTTCGAAGAAAAGATGTGTTAAATGCCGAGTTTCGGAGACACACAAAGACAAGAGGCCCTGCTGACGATGACAGTTTTTGCATTTTCTTGCCCAACAGAAAAAAAGTATTTTGGAACAAATACAAGATTGTAATATTTAGAGGGGGAAAAAAAAAAAATCACAGATACACAACCTGTGAGACCACAAATTTTAAAATAAATCTTAGAAGAAAATGTAAACAATCTTGACAAAAGAAACTTTTTTTTTTCTTTTTAAATATGAGGGGGGAAAAAAAGGTGAAGAGTAAGGAACTCMATTTGTGGGACATTTTGACATGTATAATTGCACACAAGAGACRCGGGAAACATACTGGTTATTACAGCAAAATATTACAGAGTATAAACTATGTCTCTGGAAAGAATCACACACTACCATTAAGTTTTGGCTTTCAGCCAACATATTAAACTTGATGAATGGACTTTTATGAATTCACACAACTGTTTTCAATGACKCTTTATTTACTACATACTAGTGAGAAATTGTGCCTGATGCTCACGTTTTTCCTACTGTCACGGAGTTAGAAAAAGAAACAAGAATTTTTTTTTAATGATTTTTTTCCCCACTTTTCATTTTAAAGGTACRTGTCAGATCGCAAGACCTGGGACCAAAGTTTCACTTCACATCTGATTCCCCCTCCCTTGCTGAATTACATGTCTCCAGTAGAATTAATCTGAATTAGTCATAACTCTTAAAATAACAGAGGCATTTCCACCTACCTGGGTCTGCCAACAAGTTCCAGAAACACAGCACATTATTACTGTGACACTTACTGATGAAGGAGGCAAAACTGCACCAACTCCTGCTGTTTTCCTCAATAAACACCTAGAGCACAATTCCAGCTCAACCATTATTGTTCACTAGTAACCTACAATTGTTTTCCCTGGTTTCCTCTCAAAAAAACAAACCCCAACAACATCGTTTCTGTCAAATTCTATCACTGAAAAAAGAAAACCTAACAAAATGAGCAGGTACAACCGCTACTTCCTTCCAAATCTGAGAAGAGCAGCAAAAGAGAAATCTACACGTTCTTAACGCAAATAAAATGGCTGAGGCCATGAATGTAATTTAAAAACTACAAATATTATGTCTATTTAGTTGTAGAAGATTTCTACAAAACAAGGTTTTTCTTTCTTCATGCTAGTGAGCATACAGCTCACATACAGCTTATGCWGAAATTGCTGTTTTTACTCTCATTCTGCTGTGTAATCTGCTACTTAAAACTGTCCAACAACAACTCTAAATTAACTTATAATGGCAAGGCACCGAGCACCAGCACACATGCTTATTTAACCGAAGCACACACAAATACCTTTAAAAACTTACTAAAATTCAGAGTATCTAGGAATCTTGAAAGGAGCTGCTAACCTGCACTGAGCAGCTATCCCTCACAAAACAGAAGACATCAAAGGAATTAAACAACGTTTGTTAAGTGGACTGAAAGATCAAAAGACTTAGAGGGACTTGAACAATATCTAAAAACCTGAGTTTTTTCACAAGTGGTGGTTCAGGCTAAACTCACCCCCTGTTTACACTTTAAAAGGCCAGTAAAGGTGTCCTACAACAAGCTGGGGCTGCAGGAGCGCTCCTGACCTCAGGTACCCTGTGCAGCCCTCAGAGGGGAGAGTCAATAACAAAACTGCTGGAGTAGCTGGAGCTAAGTTTAGGGAAAAAAAGAAAAAAAAAAAAGCTTTTTAAATGGCAATGTAGAATGGCAAAAAAATAAGATTTGAGAAGTTTTATGAATGTGACAACTTCATCTGACGGGAGAGTCGAGGCGGTAGAGGAGCACTACATTATTCAAAGGTGAAATAGGAGCCTCATGTCTCACTCGCAGTCGAAACAAGCTGCAGCAAGCATTTATTAAAAATGCGCAATCATCTTGTCAATATATATTAAGGTCACAGGACTGAAACATCTTCTGAAATGCAGCACTTTTAAAGCTGTAGTATTCTTTATCTCAACAGCCCCTAAGCAGTTAACATACAACACGTGATGAAAATGTAGGAACTAATGAAAAAACTGTTAAGTATTTATTCTGAAAAAATGCAAGTTTTCTTGAAAAGCATTTGAGCAAGAGGGTTTAAGCCTATCTGTAGGTATATGCTATATTGCTTTCATATATGGCAYGTTCAGTAAGTCAGCAAAGCAATGAGCAGCAAAGCAGCACAGGATGAAGACACAGGGTAGTTCAAGGAACACTGACTACAATAAAAATAAACAATCAATACTTGATTCATGCTTTAAACGCACTTCCTTTGCCTCAAAAAAGCATGTTCCTCAATTAATATAAAAATTATACACGCAAGTTAACTACATTTAACCAACACATAAAAATATCCCATGAAATACTTAAAATATAGCCCATTTCTTAAATACCTACATCATGTCAAAATAAAATAGTATTCTGGTCTAACAGAATTAAGAGAATGTTTCCTAAATTAGCATAATTATATATTATCTTAATTTTCCGGGGAAAACAGATCCAAAAATCAAATCTCAAAAAAAAAAAGGCTGTATACTATTACTTAAGAGAGGTCTCAAATGGAGAGGCTTTGGSCATGCCTGGTCCCTGTTCCAAGCTTTATGCTATGGAGCATTTCCGATTGCAGGCCCCATGGCTGTCTCTGCTCCACCCCAGTCAGGTTTTAATACTCAGCGTGTGATGAGAGATGAAACCAAGTGTGAACAACTTTCAGGTCCCATGAGGAGGGTGACTGTTGAAGCTGTCAGGTTCAATTGCATCACTCCACATTATTCAATGCCCCAAACTGCTCCCTAATTGTTAGGGGCTTAACATATTCAAAACCATTGTTTAGGCTAATGCTGAAATGCCTACAGTTGAGTTTCCATAAAGCAAGGGGAGGGATTTAATGGTACTTAAACCATTACTGAACTTTCCTCCTTTCATGATAGGACAACAAGGATGGCCTTAACAATCAAATCCAAGACAACTTCTTAATACTTTATATTCAACCAATACATCTTTTGCCCTTGTGCTTTAAAAACCACTGCCACACTGCAGTTTTACATTTTAAAGCATCAAAGTATTGTAATGCGTTACAGACTATTTAATTACTTACTCCAGTCCATACATACTTGTCAAGAATAATATTAAAGACTGAAAAGATTCTCTTTTAAAATAAAAACATCATTGCTCCAYTGTGCTGTCTATACTCCTTAAATATGATTATCACATTAATGTGCTGGGGTCATAATATTTATTGATAACAGTCTTTTTCCTCCCCTCCACGGGTCTAGCACCACGCTGCAACAGAAAGCACTGAGCTCCCCTCTGCTGCTATTAACACAAACTGAAGAAATCACAAGCAACAAGGTAACAGTAACTACAAGCAAGCCACTTTTGGAAGGTGTACAGTAAACTACTTCTCAAAGCAGTCTCCCAAAAACTTGATGCAGGATTTTTTAGGGAATAAAACAAATAAATACCCCAAATTAAATGTTACGTTCAGCTAAATTTTCTAGGGGTGTTTCTTTTATACTTTTGAGAAGATATTACTAATGTTTACATACAGTTGTCTTGCTTCATGAGATAAGGGAGAAAATTCAAACACTTGGCAAGTCAGCAGAAGCAAATTTCATCTAGGAAACTCTCAAGTCATCYTAAACTGATATATTTTAGTCAATGTCAAAAGCAACATTCATCTGAAATACATAGTACTGTTAACAACATCAAAAATAAACCCTATGTTCTGATTAAATGAGTTTGGATACCCTAAGATATTCATGTGATATACATAATGTYAAGAAAGTCCACTGCTTTTTCTGCAAAGTGAAAAAAGCTGTTGCAAAAGCAACCTGCCCTTAAGCTTCACCATTCAGCTCAGATATCTGACAAAAACTGATTCTATCTCCACAGTTTTGGAAAGCCTGTTACATTAGGGGGAGCACATTGCAGACTGCTCTTGGTGTCCAGTGCAACAGGAAAGAGAACGTCCTGCTGCCTTCTCCTCCTCTCCCAAACACCT